AATTTTCTTACAACACCCATAACAGAGACTGACATTTTCATCAGATTCTTTCCTATAGTGTCTTTTGGGTGAAAAAATTTTAAAGCTATTTAAAAATAAGCAACAATTGTATTTGCAGATAATATGACGGTAATTGAAAAAGGTTAGGCTAGATATGGGTTAGGGTAAAACCATAGATTTATGGCCGTTTTCTACCACATCCAAAACATACTAGTATACATTTTTTAGAATGTTTTGTTTGAAAAGAAAAGAATAGATATTTTTTTTAAATATGATATGTTCGGGAAAAGGGAACCACTTCAAGGTTTTCGACCCTCACCTTCAATACTCCTCTCTCAATTTTTAAAATTTGTTAACTTTCACCTTTAACGTCTCTTTTTTTTATCAGTTTTTGATTTTTTTTTTGACTCTTCGCCTTCAATACCGCTTCTCATTTTATGTTTTAACGGAAAAGGGTACTAGAATATATTTTAAAAGTTTTATTATGGAGAGACTGGAACCACGCTAAAATATTTTTTAACTGATAAGAAAGAAAATGCTAACATACAATTTAACCTTTAACAAGTATATTTGGCAAGGGACAGGAGCCACACTGAAATACATTTTAAAAGTGATACCACTAAGCAAAAATCCTAGTATATATTATATTTTACTGTATTTGTACACAACATTATTTAAGAATAGTTTTAAAATTTGTTTTTTGAGAAGAACAGGAACCTCACTAAAATACTTTTTAAATGTTTATGATTTCTCGACCTTCACCTTCAATACCTCCTGTATTTTTAACATATATCCACCTTCATAACTGCCACCATTTTTATAATCTCTCAAGTTTCACCTCGTGTATCCTCTCTCCAATTTTATAATTTATCAGAGACACCGTCACCTTCAAATGAAAAATACTAGCAAAAATTTAAAAATGTGTTTTTGAGGGGATAGGAACCACATTAAAATACATTTTAAATATGTTTTTAGTAGGTAAAAACATTTTTTAAAAATAGTTTTTTAGAGGGAAAGAATAATATATGTCTAGATCTAGGTAGAATATTTTGCCTATTGACATGAAAAGGAAGTGGAGACAGATTTTCTGATAGCAGCTTTTGGAGAATTAATGCAATGTTTCTCATCAAACAGTTGCTGAGAGAATGTTTGTAACTGTTTTAAAGAGGTTTCTTTTAATTCTAGAACTCTAAAATTTTTATGCCATTGCTAATGTGCGAAGTGCCCACTTCCAATGAAATCATTGCTTCATATCTGCAGGCCATCATTACATGAAGGGTCTTGTTTCATGGTGTCTATCCTCTCAAAAAATCGTTATGAGATCAGGAAGACTTGTGTAGCTGGACAATCTAAATTTTATTTTATTTTGTTCAGGTAAGAGACCACTCTAGAAGACATTTTTCAATGTGTTGCTTCAGATTGTTATAATACAAATTTTTTTTAAGGAACCGTAACCATATTTCATAAAATATTTTGTTTGAATGAAACACTCTTGAGCACATTTTAAAATTTATTGCTTTTGAAATTATTTCAACACAGAGAGTGAAAGAAATTTGCTTGACTTTTCCAAAAAATTTTCGTATGAAAAATTTCTTTCACCAATGTATTAACAATTTATTGTATTTTTCGGGGGGGAGGACGGAAACCACACTAAAATATATTTACTGTTTTTTAAAATGAGTTATTTGGAGGAGGAACAAGGACCACACTGGAATACACTCTAAAAAGAAATTTTCTGTTTCGACAGGAACCATGTTAAAAAAATTTTGGTAACTGTTTTGGAAAAATCGTCGTATGCAATTTTAAAATGATTTTTGTGTTTGAAATCGGAATCACTATTATATATTTTAAATCAGTAAATGTTCAGAAAAAAGCATTAACTTACATTTTGAGTGATAAAGGTGAAGGTCGAAAATTTTCACAAGTGACAGTACTTTCAATATCTTTAGGTAAACTTGTTTTTGAAGTAACTGAAACGGAACGGGAACAATATTAGAATACATTTTATAGTCTTTTGTTTTAAAAAAAAAAACTTTTTTTCAGAGAGATGTTGGAACCATACTAAAATACTTTTTAAATGTTTTGTGGTCAAAGTAAAAAATACTAGCAGATTATTTTCTATATTCTATTAATGGCGACCGGTTGAAAAAGACAGCGAATAATTATTATACATGTATTTTAAGGATGCTGGACAAAATATCCCTTATTTTGAATTTTTATCCTAACCCTAACCCTAACCCTAACCCTAACTACACTAAATTTTACTCTCAAGTGACGTTTTGTCTCGACCACATTGTATTTATCATAAATACAATTTCAAAATTTGTTTAACTCGTTATTTCAAGTACACTTGGTAATATTAAAATGTCTATAAAGTTTGACTCCTTTGTACAATTCTTAAAAGTAAATCACCTAATGGAGAAGTTAGGATCAACTGCAAACAACCCCCACTAGAACACGCCTTCAAATCCTTCAACATTGGACACTAGTTTGGTAACTTGGCAATTACCATTTGTACCAGTTTTTATAGTTAAAATCCCTTTTTTCATTGAATCTTTTTGAGACTTCTAACATCATTGACCTAAGCCAACATTGATTATCTATATCAGGGCAAAATAAGGCACTAATGAATATCAACTAAATACTACTCATCTGAAAATTTATATTACATAAAAAGAAATTATAGAACTCTTTACTTAGTTTCATTTCTAGTCAGTGATATTGTCATAGATGAGTAATTCTTTCTTTCTTTGTCTTTCTTTCTCCTTATATAGGTATAACATTGGGATTGTTAAATACTGTGCACACCTTCAGTAAACAATACAAATTCAATGTAAAAATAAAAAAGTTATATTAAGAAAATATTTGGTATCAAATATACATCAGATACGGTTCAAAAAGTACGGGATACTATAGGTGATAAAACTGCAATTTGTCTGGAAATGAGGGCTTCAAAACATTCAATAGAATTTCCTTGTTGGCATATATTGCGTCTATTGTGCATAAAGGATTTTTCTAGAGACAATTGTCAATTTCCTTGTTTAGTTTGTAGACAAACATGTGAAATTCAAAATGAAAGCATTCGTTCTTATCAAAAGAAAAGGTTTAGGTTAGGGTTAGGGTTAGGGTAGAAAGAAAATAATAAAAAACATATGAGAGATAAATTAGGGTTAGATAATACAGAAGAATTTGATTTGATGTATAAATCTCATTTGCATATTTACAAAGATTGTATACAAAATTAGAAAATGAAAAATGCAGATGATGCTTTAAAATCTATATGCAGAGCGCTTAACCCTAACCCTAACCCTAACTCTAACCCTTTTTCAATCATTGAATCGTTTAAAATCAATTACTTTTTGTAATTTATAGGCTGAACAATGCGAATATATTTAATAATATTCTACAAAACTCTTCAAAACATTCTCAATACTTAAATTAACAAGATAATCAATTTTCTTATCAAGTTGGAAAACCAATATTTCAAAATATAATTGAAAATTGTACGCAAATGAATCTCTGACACCATGAATTTCGATACGTCGTGTTGAATAAAGCAGGATAAGCTTTATTTTAATAGTCACCATTTATCGCAATGTTAACTTGGTGAAGACAATTCAGCTACTGGTCATCTGTTATGGAATTAAGAGCCACCTAGTGAGAGTGTTTAGGCCGTTTTAGAATACTGCAAAGCCCCCTGTTGGCTATCAGTACTATTGGACAACGTTTTCGTTATCCCTTTCATAAATTATTTAACACTCCCCGCCAAGAGGATGACAAAGTAACTGAATCCTCATTAAAAGGAGGATTTAATACTTCTTGTCCTGGGTCTTTCATAATGGCCGTCAGTGGTTTTGTAGAAATTGCATCTTCCGTGACAGCAAGTAGACTCCTCCAAACCTCATCTCTAAAATGATATGGAGCTCTGGGGCTTATGAAGCTCCACTTTCCATTAAATTTATTTGACACTTGGGTGAACGTTGCCGCATTATCTGACCTGATATTTATTATAGGGCCTTTTAAATACCTCATTTTTAACAGAGCTAACTGAACGCTATCCTTACTCAAAGATTCAATTAGCTCCAAGGTAACGGCTTTTGTTTTCAAACAAATTCCTATGAGAACGTTCCTTTTTTCGCATTTTTAATTAAAAACGGTCCAAAAACATCTATTCCCCATCGATTCAAATGGAATAGGTTCTTCTATGATTTGATCCCTACAGGGCTGATTTGCGTTGTACTGGAATTTTCTGTTTTTTCTCCATTCTTCACACTCCTGACACTGGCCATAAACTTCATTCGCTAGAGCTACCTCCGCAATTGTCCAAAATCGACGTCGCAATCTATGACGCTTGGCGTTAGGTCCAGAGTGACCAGTCCTCAAGTGAACGTACCTCAGTAATAATTTCGCCGCACTCATACTCTTATGAAGTAGTACTCTTGTTTCCTTGTTTCTTAGAACAACTTCCCATTGTCCCAATTAATTTCTGGACGTTTTTAACTTTTCCCTTGCCACAAGAGGTATAAGTTTCTGCTCTTCTGTGATTTTTCCGTTTATTACTAAGGTAAATTTAATTGGATTACCGGCTACTTCCTTCTTAAAATCCTCCTATTGATCCCAAGGCAAGGATACCTTCCCCAAGAGGACTCTTTTCGTATTCTTATTTTCCATTATATTTTTTCAGCTCAAACCAATTTTCCTTTAATGATAAATCTTTTAACTTAGTTAATTGATCTGCAGGATTGTTATCTGTGGATACGTATTCCCATTGATGGTTGTCCGTGTGATTGAGAATTTTCTTTACTCTTTCTCTCTCGAAACGTACTAAAGGGATTGACATATTTTTAACCCTAACCCTAACCCTAAGCGTCCACATATACTCTGTAGGCAGAAGGGTTTCCTATATAATATATTCCTATATATTGACTCCGTGATGAGGAATATAATTTACTATTGTAATATCTTTTGGTTAGGGAATTGCGATTTTCTCATTTAAGTATTCATTCATAAATTCTCTCATCATATTCCTTTTCCAAGTCCGGATTTTTCTTAAAAGCTTTAAGTTGCTGTAACAGACGGTTTTCAGCCGTTTTCCGCGGGCAGAATTCTTTGAGGGTTCCGTTAGTAACCTCATTTATCAATAGCGGTGCTACGATTTTCTCATCCTCAATTATAGTTTTGTTTTCAAATCTTTTCGAGAGTATTTCGTCTTCTATGGATATTTTCATTTCCTTACTTTTGGGATTTTTAATTGCCATATTGCAATTAACATTTAGTTTGGCGTTTTTCTTGCCACCATAGCAAAACCAACCCAGTTTATTTCTGATCAATGTCATTCCATTATGCAAGTTTTTTGAGTCTGTAGGATGCAATAACGAATAATAATCGTTACCTATTACCAATCCCACTCTCTTATTTTGAAGCTGAGGGATTTTGATGCCTCCGTCCTTAAATTCTTGTTCATCCACCATTTGCCTCGATCTGACAGCCATTTAGGTTCAATTTATACAAATTCGCAGTATGACGAATTACCCCAAGTCCATTTATAATCAGATCTGTCTGTCCGATAGATTTTACTTTCCACTTCCTCATTAAATCTTACCTTTGTTATTATTTCACATTTGATTTAATTTTTCTGTCCAGTAAGTCTAACCTTTCTTCCAAACTATAAAGTTTTTGATCTAATAGTTCTGTGACTTGTTACAGAATGAATTTTCTTTAAATAACCTTTTATATCGCTCCTCTAGACGCAATATTTTGCCTTTAAATAGCATTATTAATTGTTCCTCCAAATGGATTAATTCTTCCTGTCGAGATGATTCTTCTTCTCGTACTGATTCATTTACGATAGGCAGGATTATCTTTTTAACCTTTGCGACTATTTTGTTTTCAAACTGATAACTATTATGATGGAGGGCCGATAATCTATTAATTATTTGAAGCCAATCTTTTTCCAGTTATCTCTGGCTTTCTTACAGTTTTGCCAGTTTGCCATCAAGTCTCTATAATACTTAATAAGAGTTTTTGGGCTTAGAACTTCTTGATCTGGGTCTTTCATAAGTGCCGGTAAGAGGTTTTGTGGAGACCGCTTCCTCAGCAACTGTGAGTAGACTTCTCCAAATTTCGTCTTTAAAACAGTTCTTTAAATAAGGACGTAATATCCATTTCACTGTTCTGATTGATTGTTCCCACAAGCCTCCTTGATATGGAGCTCTAGGACTTAAAAACTTCCAATTCCCATTAAAATTCTTTGTAGCTTGGGCAAAGGTTGCTGCATTGTCTGATCTAATATTTGTTATAGGACCTCTTAAATATCTCATTCTTAATAGAGCTAGCTGAACACTGTTCTTGTTAAGAGATTCCATTAGTTCCAATGCAACAGCTTTTGTTTTCAAACACACTCCTATAAGGACATTCCTTTTATCACCATTTTTATTCGTGAATGGTCCAAAAACGTCTATTCCGATTGATTCAAAGGGAATCGGTTCACCAGTAATTTGATCCCTATAAGGTTGATTTCCATCATATTGAAACTTCTTGTTTTTCCTCCACTCTTCACATTCGTGACACTGATCGTAAACTTCGTTCGCTAACGTTACTTCTCCAATTGTCCAAAACAAACGCCTCAATCTATGACGCATGGCGTTAGGTCCAGAATGACCTGTTCTCAAATGCACATATCTCATGAGTACTTTCGCTGCACTCATGTTTTTATGCAGTAAAGTTCTTGTTTGTTTATTTCTTAGGACGACCTCCAATTGACCCAATTCATTTCTGGTCAATTTTAATTTTTCCATTGCTGGGGGAGGTATAACTTTCTGTTTAATTGCGATTTTTTCGTTAATTAAATAGATAAATTTATTCGGATCACCCGCTACTTTTCTTTTAAAATCCTTCTCTTGCTCCCAAGGCTTTTCCCCAAGAGAACTTTTTGAACATTTTTTCTTTCCGTGGTATTTTCCAACTTAAACCAATTTTCCTTTAGGGAAAAATCTTTTAATTTTGTTAATTTATCGGCTGGATTGTTCTCAGTGGGTACGTATTCCCATTGATAGTCATCTGTGTGATTAAGAATTTTCTTAACTCTTTCTCTCTCAAAACGTACTAAAGGGATCGATATGTTTTTGATATATGCCAGGACTGCTTTATTATCGGACAAGAATGTTGTTGTTTTCTTTTCCAATTTATAGGATTCAAACTCTAATGCTAGTTCAACACCTAATAAGGCCGCCATCAATTCTCTCCTCGGAGTCGACGATTTATTATCGGGATCGCCTTCCTTATTAAGGCGTGATTTCACTCCAATAATATGCCAAGTTTTGTCTATAAAACCGTAAATAACTGCTCCATGACGATCCTTAGACGCATCTACCTATACCCGGTAAGCTGACGGGTTTCCAATATATCAAGGTAACTGAATTCTTTCGAGCAACTTTTTCGTTAGCATTTTCCATTCGTTTACGAATGGATCCGGGACTTTTGCATTCCAATTACTTGACTCCATATGACAACATGCCTTTGACCATATAGTCTTAAACTCGGCTCTAATTGGCTCTATATAGTCAAGTGGGTCGAAAACTCTCATTAAAGCTGAATTCATTTCTCGATATGACGGTTTCCAATTGCCACTCTAAGTAATCGTCCTTTGTATACTTGATTCCTAATATTCTTTCTGCCGTTGATTGATCTTCTCCAAATTTGGCAGCTAATTCTGTTACATTAGAATCAAATTTAGTCAATTTAAAATAGGGCTTTAATGTCTCTTGCAAGTTTTTAGCCATTTGTTCTCATTCATCCAAATCATCACTTGATTGCACCCAATTGTCGATATAGAAACTATTAGTAATTATTTCTTTCCATTCATGGTATAACTTTTCAGATTCTTCTATCAATTTTTGTAAGGATCTACATGCTACGAAAGGAGAACCTTTTAAACCAAAGGTGTGTCTTGTTAAGACAAACTCCTTTATGTTTTCTTTGGTTTTATTAACTCCTTTTTCCCAATATAAAAATCCGCAATACTTATAATGCGACTTCAATAAATGGATTTGGTGAAACATTGCCTTTATGTCTGCAACAATGAGGTACCTTTTGAGACGAACCTTTATCAATATTTTTCTAATGTTGTTGCTATTTTTTCGTTTAAATATTCATAAATTCTCTCATCATATTTCTTTTCCAAATCCGGATTATTCTTAAAAGCTTTAAGCTGCTGTAACAAACGGTTTTCTGCTGTTTTCCGCGGGCAGAATTCTTTGAGTGTTCCGTTAGTAACTTCATTTATTAGTAAAGGTGCTACAATTTTCTCATCTTCAATTATAGTTTCCCTTTCAAACTTTTTTGAGAGTATTTCATCCTCTATTGATATTTTCGTTTCTTTACTTTTTGGGTTTTTAATTCAATATTGCAATTAACTCGAATTTTAGTATCCTTTCTACTACTGTAACAAAACCAACCTAATTTGTTTTTGACCAAAGTCATTCCATTACCCAAGTTTTTAGAATCTGTGGGATGTAGTAACGAATAATAATCATTGCCCACTACCAATCCCACTCTTTTATTTTGAAGCTGGGGGATTTCGATGCTTCCAGACTTAAATTTTTGTTGATCCACTTTTGGCAAATGTTTAACACCATATGCCTCTATCTGGCATCAGTTTAAATTCAACCTATAGAAATTTGCAGTATGTCGAATTACCCCAAGTCCGTTTATAACCAGATCTGTCTGTCCGATAGGTTTTACTTGCCACTTCTTCATCAAGTCTTCCCTTACTAGCGTAATGTCTGATCCAGTATCTCCTATTGCAACCAAATTTTGTCGTTTAGCATTAACCTTAATTTCGACTATATTTGCTGTTTTTGCTTTATTTTCTACAACTAGCAATGCATTTTCAATCTTTCTACAATTATGCAAAGCAGAATGGACTTGTTGATGGCACCCGTCACATGATTTTTTGGTACAATTTCTAGATTTATGACCAATTTTTAAACAGTTTAGACATCTGTTTAATTTGGTTAATTTTTCTTTTCTTATAAGTTTACTGTCCCTTTCGAACTCCGGGCACTCTGACATCCTATGTCGGCCTTCGCAGTAATAACATGTTATTCTCCCAATCTGATGATCTTTCGGATAATCTTTATTTCTACCTTCATTCCTATGCACAGACTTTTGTGAATCGGGAATCGAAGAATATTGTAAATAGACTGCTTTACTTTGCTGAGATTCTAAGAATTTAATCAACTCTATTTCAGGTTCATATTCATCTGTGCCAATTTTACTTTTAGTTCTTTTTACCCATAACTCCTTTAGTGGTTCGGTAAAATTACCAACTGCAACAGCAACCATTGGTCGGACCTGTTTTGCTCCAAACAATTTTATGGTACTTCTTATATATTCTGCGAGATTGATTAAAGTATCGCCGGTACTTATATCCAGTTTCCCGTAACCATGAATTCTGTTAACCATTTCCTCGTATTTGTCTATTCTGTTAAAGTGGCGATCTAGTCTCTCTAGAGCAGATTCAAAACTTCCGCTTGGATGGGAAGCATATTCTTGGATTAGAGTCTTTACTGATTCATCTAATCGTGACATCAAAGCTTCAAATTTAACATAACTGTCAACATTCGGAAACTTCTCTGAAAATGTTCCTATTCGGCGTCTGAATACGTCATACTCTACAGGGTTTCCTCTGAATTCTGTTATTCGACCAAATAAATCTTTAATTTCTTCCTCTGAGGATTTACTTCTGCTAAAGTTCATACAGCAATTACTTAGGTTTCCTTTCATATTCGATTTCATTTTTCCGTCCAGCAACTCTAGCTTTTCTTCCAAACCATAAAGTTTTTTATCTAATAACTCTGTAACTTGTTCCTTTATACAGAACGAGTTTTCTCTAAATAACCTTTTATATCGCTCCTCTAGACGCAATATTTTGCCTTTAAAAAGGTTTATTAATTGTTCCTCCAAGTGAATTAGTTCTTCCTGTCGAGATAATTCTTCTTCTCGTACAGCTTCATTTATGATAGGCAGGATTATCTTTTTAACCTTTGCGACGATTTCGTTTTCATACTGATAACTATTATGTTGGAGGACTGATAGTCTATTAATTATTTCTTTTGATTTATCCTCCAAATCCTTTTTCTCCAGACTTCCGATTTTGGTAGCTCTGAGTTTATTGAATTTGAATCTTCGTAATCTTCTAAAGGAGGGAATTCTTCTTCGAAAGATCTTTGTTCCAAAACGTGAGTTTCTTTTGATTTGAATTTTGTCTCTTTCATCCAAAATTCTGAATTAAAGGGTTTCTTTACAAACTTCGCTGTTTGTAACCAACCGTTATCATTGTCCTCTTCCTTTGGAACATATAATCCATCTTTAATATTCTCCTCCATTTTTTCTAACCAGCTTCCGATTTCGTTAAGATCTGAGGAACAATACATTCCAACTTTCTCTCTTGTCCAAATTAAGATGTCCTTAACGTACCAAATTTTAGCTAG